AATAGTGCTAGGTCTCCTAAGACAGCACCAGTACAAGGTAAACTTGGAAAAATGCGAGTTTGGTCGCACCAAGATCTTGTACTTGGGGCATGAAATCTCCGTGGATGGGTTGAGGCTTGACCATGCCAAAGTGGCCAGCATACGAGACTGGCCTAGTCCTTAGACTGTTACTGAGGTCCGATCGTTTTTGGGGATGACGGGCTACCATCGTCCGTCCGATTGTTTTTGGGGATGACGGGCGTTTGTTAAAAACTATAGTACTATAGCTTCACCATTAACAGATCTAACTCGACTTGACACCCCTTGGGAGTGGACTGAAGAGTGTGAAGCAAGCTTCAAGAAATTGAAGTACGGAGTCCGCAAGCTTTCGGATCCTGATAAGCCGTTTGTTGTGACCACAAATGCCAGCGAATATGGCATAGGTGCGGACCTTGCGCAAAAGGAGGGGCCAAAGTTGAGACCCATCTAGTACATGAGTAAGAAGATGCCATCTCAGAAACTGGCAAAGTCCACGTATGAGCGTGAGCTCTATGCCCTCTACAGAGCGCTGGTCCATTGGAGATACTATCTCCTAGGCAGGTTCTTGTACTTGAGATCTGACCATGAGACTTTGTGTTGGATTAAGACGCAGCCTGTACTCTCGGACGCACTCAAGCGGTGGATTCAAGTGATAGACATGTATGACTATCAACTTGATCCAATCAAGGGAGAGTACAACAAAGTAGCTGATGCTCTATCACGTAGGGCAGATTATCTGGGCGCACTAGTGACTGAATTTGACATATCTGACGATCTAACTTGATCTTTGGTGGAGGCCTATCAGCAAGATCCAGTCGTGTCTGAGATCATCCGTAAATTCAAAGAGAGAGATAAATTAAGTTCTGACGAATTTACGATGGTAGACGACTTGCTGTTTCTTGAGAAGATAGGGAATAAAAGACTGTGTGTTCCAAATAGTGAGTCTTTGCGTAGTTTATTTTTAGGGGAATGTCATGATGCAACTGGCCATTTTGGCTATAAAAAGGCATCAGCTAACCTAGTGCAGAGATTTGGTGGCCTACTATGATGAAAGATGCAAAAAGATACATTGAGATCTGCCAGGTTTGTCAACGGGACAAACCTAGGACTTAGGCTCCGCTTGGGCTTATCAAGCCCTTGCCGATTCCTGAAGGCCCAGGTCAGAGTGTGTCCATGGACTTCATGGATACTCTTGTGACCAGCAGGACTGGCAAGAGACACATCTTCGTTATWGTGGACCRCTTTTCTAAATATGCAAGACTTATCGCTMTGYCGGAGACTGYTAAGACTGACTATATCATCAARCTGTTTTTGGATAACTGGGTCCGTGATTTTGGACTYYSTACRTCTATAGTAAGTGATAGGGATGTAAGATTTACCAGCGAACTGTGGCAGTCAACAGCTGAGCAGATGGGCACCAAGCTACAAATGACGTCAGGGAACCACCCTGAGTCAAATGGCCAGGCAGAACAGATGAACCGAGTAGTACAGCACCTGCTTCGGCATTATATTAAGCCAAGTCAGGATGATTGGGACGAGAAGTTACCTCTCGTCGCCAGCCTGTACAACAATGTTGTGCACAGTACTACTGGTATGACTCCCAACCAACTGCACCTTGGTTGGAAGCCCAGAACTGCACTTGACTTTCTGCTACCAGAAAGACAGCCCACTGCAGCACCCGACAGCATAGAGTTTGCTGTCAAGTACGAGCAGATGCTGCAGCAGGCCGTCGAACATATTACAAAGTCTCAGGATGCTATGATCGCATCTGAGAATAAGCATAGACGGCCCTCTAACTTTCAGGTAGGTGGTAGAGTCTGGGTCAAATCATCTGGACTGGGTCAGGAGCTGGGCATATCTCGCAAACTGATGCCACAGTACTTTGGTCCTTGGAAGGTCCTAGATATAGTGGGGGATCAGATAGACGGACATTCCTATGTGATTCACATCCCAACTCACTTACGCACACACCCAGTTTTTCACGCCTCAAAGCTGGCACCTTTCGCAGAACCTCACAGTTTCCTTCCAGACGGTCAATGCTGCCCCCAGCCATGGATGGTGAAGTTGACATTGACGGAATTGTGGAGCATCGAGTGATGCCAGTGCCTAAACCGCCGGGCAGAGGCCGCCCTCCTAAGCCAAGAATGCAATACCATGTCAGATTCAGACATCATCTGGATACCAGCGAAGATCGGTGGTTCACCAGAGAAGAACTCGTGCGAACAGCACCTCAAGTTATTGCAGGCTATGAAAGAGAACTCTAAAGGGGAAGATGCCTTCAAATTAGAAGACTTCTCAGAGGACTATTGAAGGAAAGGAGGAGGGAATGTGAGGATGTGGGTCCTCGGCAGGCGTAACGGGCCCCTGATGCAGATGTGCCCGCCCTAAGTGAAGGCGGGCCTAGCAAATCATGAGAGGCCGTCAGCTGTCAATTTCGTATTTGGGGTCCAGGCAGTTTCGACGCGCCAGTTGGTTGAGGGAAACACCGGCCGAGCAGCAAGACATTCCACGGCCTTCCAGGCCTTTCCAAAAATGCAGGCCCTGGGCGAGAATCGCAGCCTCATATGCAGGCAGTTGGGAGGCCCAACCGAACGGGGGCCCAGCAGCAGCATCGGAGGCACAGCCTTCTGGGGCCTATCGGAAGCTTCTGGGCAGAGGCCCAGGCCAGCCAGGCCGCCGAGAGAGGCAGGCTCTTTCCATATAGGAAAGAGCTCGCTGCCTGGCCAGGAATCCAGCACTTGCACACTGGCGGCAGCGCTGCTGGAGCAGACGCTCGTAGGCTGCTGCTGGTGCTGAGAGGCAAGCTGCTAGCGTGTGCGGTCGTCCAGGGAGCAGGGCGCTGCTGAGGGCGGCGCCATAGCCTAGCCTATATAGCTGGATGGGCTTGGACTACAGTGAGGCGCAGGGGTGGTCTTCGGGTGTACAGAGGGAAGACGTAGGTGTAAGCCGAGGGAGAGAGAGAAGGATGATGATGATGATGATGATGTGAGGGCACATACCTGGTATTGGCGATGGTCTGCATGGGCGACATCTTCAAGCACTTCGTGGGCTGCTGACGTCAACAGTTGCATGCCAATTAGTAGGCAGACAGTAGCTGTGTAGGAGTAGGCTGGGCGCCGAGCGCCAAGTAAGGGGAAGGTCCTGGACTCTTGTGTTGGTGGTGGCGAGAGCAATCTCTCATTGACATTGGTTTTCAGTGTTACGATTCTCCATTGGTGTCATATTGGTGCAATCCTGCTCTTTGGACACTGTTGTACTATCTGCCCTTCAATGTGATTGTGCATTCTGGATATTGTCATCTTGCTGTTGCTCATTTTCCTTGCATTTGTAGACTGCTGTTTCCCTAACTTGGCAGCCTACAGCCTAGGAATGACAGCCTATAGCCTAGGACCGAATCTAGGCCTAAAATTGGCGAAAGGGGAGGACAGAAACCACCTATATTCAGGGCAGAAAGAACAAAGCAGAGAGACCTAGTGGTATGACAGCTAGCCTACAGAGACCACTCCAAACAGACCTAGGGATCAAGCCCAGTTGGGCTTTCACACAAAAAAAGCATAGCAAATTAAACAGGTCACGGGATTGAATCCCGGGGAGCTCAAAACCAGGCAACATCAAATGAAGCTAGTGTACAGCCCGCATGCCACTGCAATTCATTGCAATGACCATGGACTCGATGAGCAGCATAGTTTGCCAAACCGCAAGCAGAATAGACAAGGCTGTGATCACACCAGTGCAAGAACTCAAACACTCAGTGAAGTCTCTAGATTATGAAGGAACTCTTCTCACCTCCAAGCAGTTAATAGAGCAACAGAGCAGAGGGTTCCCAAATCAAGTATGAACACCTATCCCACTGCCTATCCTAGCATACCATTGATCATCCACTTGCTGCTGAGATCCATCCCACTTGTGGCAATGGCTGCAGGAGAGTCAAACCGCACTGGAGCTCTTTGTGCAGGCCACCAGGTAATGATACACCAACCTCCTGCAGCTCCTCACTACCAACGACCTCCCGTGTGCCTTGTGACCGTTCTCCCACTGGCAGTGCCTGTCCAGCTATGGCATTCGCCTTCTTTTGTGTGCCAATGCCCTGCTATCTAGCACGGTCGCTTGGTGTATGCAACCTCCTTGCCACGAGCTTGTGTCCCGGCCTGTCTTTTTGTCTTGCGGGTGCGGTCCTGTTCAGTTGGTAGGGACTACTTAGTGGCCCAGGCAGTTAGCGGGGTTGGGACCTGAACCTTAAGGCCTACCAGACTGGGACTTATGGTACATGGGACTGGGGCTTGGACAGGACGCTGGTACTCAAGGGCTTACTGGCTGGTTGACCTGTCCAACAATTTCCTGCTTCAACGTGCCCGTTGAGTATGTAAAAATGTATTTTTAGAGGGAGTACAGGACTTCAGGAGTGCCTAGACAGTCAGCAGTCTTACTGCTGTGGCTTTTTTGACCTGCCATCGACCGATGAATTTAATTTTGGACCTTTTGGCAACCTGTATGATATACAGGTGGCAGCACCTAAATGGAAGTCCGGCATGTGGTGTCATCACTGGCACAAGTAGAACGTGCTAATGTGGTAACGCAGTCTCTGCATATGGAATGAAAAGGCTGCAAGGTAGAGTGCGGTTTCTTTTTGTCCCTACCCCCCCCTTCCTTTTTTTTGTTACCTCTCCTTTTTTTTGTTTTTAATTTGAAGTTTGAACCATTTCTCGATTTATGTGTGTCATCCTTGTGCAGGGGCTATGCTTATCTTCCCTGTAACGTTCCAATTTTAAGTTTGAACGGATGTCCCGAAGGACAGGTAGAGTGTGGTTTCATCTCTGTGAAATCTTGAAGTTCTGGCCCTTCCGCAATAAGTTGTTTCGTGTTGTTACATCATATCTGTCGTTATTTCTTTGCACATCTTTGTCGGCAGGATCTACCTCACTCAAATTCCGGGAGAAGTTTTTGATAGTTTGATATTATTTTTTTTTCTGTGCTGTGGCCAGGTGGATATGGAGTATCCATGACGACTCTTGAGGGTGAGTGTTCAGCAAACAGAATGAATTCATAATGCAAGAGCTTCGGCAGCCCTTCTTCTTTCGTCGAAAGGGAGTAGGCCGTAGACTTATTATATCCCTTCCAAGTCCGTCAGGAGTTGAACTCATGGTCTGTTTATTGACAGTTGCGTGTGTGTACCATTCAGTTGTATTTGCTGGCTTCAATGTGAGTTCTGACATCCCTTCTGTGTTGCTTGTAGTAGAAGTTTTGCAATCAGCTGATCTTCAAGTGATTTAGATGCAATAAGTTGGTACCATCACTCATGTTTCCATACAATCTACTCACCATGTTTACGTAGTCATCCCTCCTCTCCCCATATGTACAACAATATAGCCAATTGTTCATGATATGTCTCCATGCATCAATGTAGCTTCGTGGTGGTGCACTCTGCTGGATTTTTGGCTGAGGTCCTATTTGCATGAGAACTTCATAGAGGGCTTGAGCCGAAGGAATTGTACTGGCAACCTGCTGCCCAAAATTTCGACTCTTAACCACTGGTGTCTAAGTGACGAAGTCTGAACCTACTCGATCACAGGCGGTAGCATGGTCTTTGTCTACTCAGAATGGTATGCTGACACAATCTAGATCAGTCACAAATAACAGTGCTCGGGAGGATGTACTGAAGTCTGATAGGTGAGGCAAGAAGGCAGAGCAGTGTCATCACACCAAGAGTGTACCCATCATAATGATATCAAAATTGGCAAGAAGGCAGGTAATGCTGTGTATATCTTTCCATCTTTCACGACATAACATAGCCTTATAGATATTTCCAAATTCTGATCGCAGAGTGGGACCCAGCCTACTGCTGTGAATGTAGCGTGTGCTGCTCCATTAGGGATAAAGTCAGTTGAAGTGGGAGTCATAGGCTTAGGTCAATGGAGATAAGGGCTGGACAGTACGTCAAACAGGATGACATGGAATGTTACCTTCAAATCCACAATGCACTACATATTGAAACGGTTTCACCCAGTTGACCTTGTACTGCAGTCACAGAGATTCGATCCCTAGACCTGTGCCCTAACCCTGTACATTGACCCTGTGTGCTGAGTGAGATTCGATCCCTAGACCTACCCTGTACCTGTACATAGACCCCGTGACCTGAGTAGAATTCGATCCCCAAACCTGTATGACTTAGGTTAGTCTGTAGTTTGGTCAGTAGGACTTGATCCCTAGGTCTGTAGATTAGCAGCTAGGTCTGCTACCAATAGGCCTAGAAAGCCTGTTCTAGAAGTCTCTACTGAGTCTGTCGAAAGTCTGTAGAGTCTGTAGGTTCCAGAAGTCCGTAGG